TTTTGGATCTGTCAGCAGGACCACCTCTCCACTCTACCACCTGCAAAATCCTAACCACATCTGATGCCATATTCCATTTTACCTTTCACCTTTCTACATCTATATAATTTGTACTCTTGTATACAACAATTTTAGAGGTTTTCTATACAGCTTGACAGAAAAACTTGAGCTGCTTCATTTCTCTGTTTTCTTCTTCCTATTTTCTTCTTATGTCTTATCTTTCAGCTTTTTTGTTCAGAGCTTCATATTTTCACTCACATTGCCCTACATTGAGCCTCCACACATTATTTATGCTAAATACTTACCACAATCACCTTGTAAGCACCATATTGCCTATGGTGCCTTGTCAACGGTCCTGGACTACCAGCAAATGACATAAAACATCACCGAACCGAGCGCTTAAGTTCCAAAACCATGTTAATAGGTGCCCACTAAGCGTATACACTGCCTACCATCAAGATTTCTATTTTATTTTCGTGCATGTTTATTGTAATGTCACTTTAATGGCTAGCCAGCAACTCCTGAACGACAAAAATCCATCAGTCCTTGCAATTTTTCCTTTCTGATAATTTGCAGAATCTACATGTTAAAACTCGCATTTGATGCATATTAGCGTTCATCTTATTTTATTGATGGTCATACGTCTAGCAATTATATAATTCCTTGTTCATAAATCTTTCTGTTGCAGCATAGAAGGAGGTCATCTGATTCAAGTTCCAACTATTCAGCCTCCGAATCCTCGAGTAGTGATTATGATGAGAGGGAGTCAAGGAGGTCAAGATCAAAAAGAGCAAAGAAGGAGAAAAAGCACCGATCGAAGTCCAAGCACTGCAGTAGTGGCAGCGAAGAAAGTGATGGCCCAATTCGTCTTTCAACATTTTTTGAAAGTGTAAAGAGCTAAGGTAAAGTGGCTAAATTTCATAAACTCCAATCATCCAAACCACTTTGAATTGTTGGGATTATTCCAATATTGTAATTGTTTTTTAAAAAGTTAAGAATGAACAATCCCAATTATATTCAATGAATTGGATGGCTGAGATTGGACAACATTACCGACCAATTATCAAGGTAAGGTGGCTTTGCAAGTTTATGGGATGCTTGGAGAAAGATAATGTGTAATTACATGTATTATTTGTGCCATTAATTGACAATTTGAAGATAACAATGCTACTTGTATTTATGGCAATATTAGTTGCTATGTCCATCAGTCTACCTACAAGAGCATTTGTATCCCGCGTGTGAGATACCGTAAATAATTGGAAATTAAGTAGGTGATTTGACAAACTTGTTCACAAAACATTTAAATATTTGCATTATCATATTGTGCATTCCTTGCAGGCTTATTAGCTGCTTTTTATATCTTCAGAAGGTGGTGTTAAAAAAATATTGGCATCAAAAGGTAATAGAGTCATTTGGATTTCACATTTGAGGAGAGAAATAGCTGTTTTATTCCGATACCTAAATGATATTTGAATCCTATTAAAAATTATGGTCAATAGCTGTCTGGGCTATAAAAATTCATACTCCGACCTCTCTGAGGTGAGTTTTGGTATTCGATTAAAATTTTTAGAAGACAAATTAGATTTGTTTTCATTTCAGGAGGGCTTTAAAATCGGTTTGAGGTTAGTTGGTGATTTTCCTTATAGAGGGCAAAATCGGTTTGAGGTTAGTTGGTGATTTTCCTTATGATTGATCACCATTTTTAATAATGAGAGAACTTATGAAGACTAATCAATATGGTGTTGATTGTTCTAGCAATTAGGTTATAGATTTAAGAGAATTTATCAGTATTAGCTTAAAGAAAATAGTGGGAATAATGATGATGACCTGATAAATGGTCTCATGCTTTTGTTTTCTTGGGTAGTTATGATCACTTATATATTTTAGTTAGAAGAGATGGTTGATCTAACATAATTGAAGTATTCTTATCAATAGTCTTAGGGTCTGTTTTGGGTAGATTATAAGTGTGGGGGTGTTTTTTAAAACTTTGTGGTACAGTTTGGTTTGCGCGATTTGTCCGCTTATCCGAAAATGTTGTTCCATTTTTACACTAGACGCTGACCGACAGTCGAACCCCGCGCTCAACTCGCGAGCCGCGTTTCAGGATAAGCCATTTATCCTGAAACACACAAGTTGCCCCAAACACACCCTTTTTTGAGAAAGCCCAAAGGCTAATATATTAAAAGAAAATAAGAATACATAAATATTGTGTGAAAGGGCCCAAGCAAGACATCATTTTCTCACGATAACCATCACATACAAAGGGTTAAAAAAAAAGAAGGAAAATACATAAAAATACAAGAGATCTAAATAAAAAAAAAAAAAACAAAAAATGCCAAAAAAACGTAGTATCTAAAAAAAAAACAAAAAATGCCCAAAAAAACGTAGTATCAGGTAGCTAGAGAGCGATCCAATTTTCCTTTGTCTCTAACTCTAGTTCTAGGAAAGGAGCCAGTTAATAAATTAGTAAGATGAGTGTCATTGCTAGTAGTGACCAAAATATCATCCAATAAGTTTCCAAGCTCAAGTTGGCCTCCAGTCTTCTTCTTTCTCCTGTAATAGACCTGCCATTCTTCATCCGAAGATTGACTCACCTGATCAGTGGATTGGTCTAAAGTATGCCAGACATGTGTAGGATGTTGAAAATTATAAGTAACTGCTTGTTGTAACAGCTGATCTTTGATTGAATCAAAGAAGCACTCTCGAGTGGCTTGGCATGTAAGTGAGTTTTCTTCAATAACAGTGAGTGGTATAAACACTTTTGGATCTGTACCTGTAGTATGATGTTTTTCATCACTAATTGCGGTGAGAAATGCGATGTTTTGTAAATGATCGGTTTGCACCTTCTTAGCAGGGATGGTAGGTGGCTGATCTTTAGCGATATCCAAAACCTGTCCTGTGGTAGTTTTCTCTCCAGATGGAACAGATATGTCCAGAGTAGTGGGATTAGATCCATTTTTTTTCATTTGATCTTTAGATTTCAAATTAGGATGAAACTTATTACATTTATCAAGTGTATGCCCAAATATCTTACAATGAGAACAGTAAGGCGATCTATTCTCAATGACGATTTGTTGCCAATATCCAATATGAGCTGTGCCCAACAAGACTTCAATAATATCATGTAAAGTAATATCTCTTTCTACAAGTATTCTGGTCACAGAAGGTCTTGTTAGGTTGAAAGTCGGTAGATCTAGCTTCATAGAGTCCCCTAGTATGACCCCAATAGAGTAAAGAACCTGATGATGAAAAAAGTGCAACTTGAGACCTGGTAGACTGAACTATACCGGTACAATAGGAGGTTCATGATTAGGCCCCAAACACACTCTTAATTGCATCATGTAATGGGATTTTATAAAACTAGGGTGTAAAAAAGGATAGAGAAATTTTTTTGTTATATCAAGTGCATTCTATAATTTAAAGCTCAATAAAGCTACTGTGAAACATACATGCTATGGTTGTGATCGTAATATAATATTTTTTTTATGTAGATTTATTTTATAAAAATTATGAAAAAAAGTGGTTTTATCATTGTTGATGTGAGGTTTTTTAAGCGATGGGTATCTGAGTATACGCCAATTTAAAAATTATCATCATTGTATAGTGCAAAGTGTAAATGAAATTTGGTTTTAATTTTAGGTCATATATTTTCCTTTGAGTATTGTTTGTTTTCATAATTTTTATAAAGTTTCTAAATTTTATTGTAAGCCCTAAATACACTTTGATTGAAATTGAAGACATTTTGAAAATGAGATCCTAAGTTTTAATGTTGTCATCATTGGAGTATTTAAATAAAGTCACTATTATTTAAATATTGTCAATTATGCCCATTTTTTTTAGAAAGCATTTAGCCAAGAAATAAGTTGAATACATTAACATATTTTACAATTGTCTCGATATCGATTGTTCAAATTTTTTTAAACATGAAATTAGTTTTTTCTCAAGTTGTTAAGGGTCTTATGTGAATGTAAGACAAAAATTAACTTTATAGCTTTCATAGTTAAAATTAGTATTATAAATTCAATTAATTGAAAACTTTTTATAATCAAAGTCGTAATGGTTTATCCCATTATAACTCTTATCAACTTTGGTTCTAAGAACGTAAAAGATCGGATTTTAGGAAATGAGTTTTACGATTTTGTTCTAAAAGAGAGATGGCTCCCTTAAGAGCGTGCGAGTTCATTGATAAATCTAATGCGTCACAATTGGAGTTTTTTTTTTAAAATGAACTTTACTTATATTTAATGTTCCAACTTTAGATATTATCAATGAACTCATTAATATTCGGTAATTATTCCCAATAAGCTAAATAAGTCTAATGTTCCAACTTTAGTATAGTGTTTGTATAATTTAGATGTTTTTATTTTTGGAAAAATGGTGCAATAAATGACGAAATTATGCTTAAGCTGAACATGGAGAACATTTATTGTAATGCAGGGTCCACGCACTTTATTGACTGTTCCACTGCTTTGTAACGCTTACATAATAATGAAGTTTCAATTTGTCTGCAACATGGACAGGAGGCATAAAGAGGAGAAAAATTTACGTATGTAAGACGAGCGCAACGTTGCGTACATAATAAAAGTTATATGAGCGTTATATCGACATTATATTCGCGTTATATCCCTTGTAACCTGCACGTAACCTCTATATAATCTGCCTGTAATATACCTGAACTTACAAATATGTTCCGCGCTTCTGTTTTCACATATTTGTAGGTTACATGGAAGCTATATGGAGGTTACAAGAGATATAACGCGAATATAATACCGATATAATGCCTATATAACTTTCATTATGTACGCAGCGCTGCGTACATCTTACGTATGCAAATTTTTCTCCTTAAAAAGAAAATTACAAGTAAAAACCAAAAAGCATTAAGATAAGAGTCAAAATCAATAGGAACATTTAATACATGCCACCAAATTCCTAGGTATTTACATATCTAACACTGGCATGAATTTTATTTTTTACATTTGCACCGTCCAAATCTTTTGTATCACATAGAACATACACCTTTTAATGCATAGAAAAGATGTCATAAATATAAACAATGAAGTTTAGGTGTTTGATATGTGAACACACATGAATTAATTGGTATGAATGTAAATCTTTCAAATAAATAAGATGGCCCAGCAAGAACAGTTCAATATGAACAATGAAATTTGAACTTCAATCCATTTATTGATCATATAATCTGTAGCTAGATAAGATATTTATGTAATAAAAGTTAAACTATCTCTTTAACGATTTATTACATTTTTTGTCATCGTTCTAATTAGGGCTGTCAAAATGGCTCGTTGTTCGCGAACAGCTCGTGTTCGGCTCGTTAAGAAGCTCGTGTTTGGCTCGTTCGCTAAGTTAACGAGCCGAACACGAATAACACGAACAAATATTTGTTCGTTCGTGTTCAGCTCCTTTTAGCTCGAAATACTACTAATCAATTATATATATATCTTTGATGAGAAGTATGTTTTAAAAATTTAATTGATTACAAGACTACAAAGATTTATAATCAATTAAAGGTATTAATGAAGAAAATAGAATAAAAATTATTAAAATAGATTCAAATGCTTGCCCCAATCCTTAACAAATCCTTAACATCTTATGACTACGTGATTAGGGTTGTCAAAGTAACTCTTTGTTCGTGAATGACTTGTGTTTGGCTCGCTAAGCAAACAAACCGAACACAAACACACTTTTTGAGCTCAAAGTATAAACGAGCCGAACATGTGTTCGGCTCGTTTAGACCCCTAGTTCGAATGCCCTTTACGCTTGAAAAAGAATGTATACTTAGAGATGATGAAATTTTATGTTGATACTATAACAAAATGGCAAGACTAAATTCCAATTCTATGTTTCACTTAGCATAAAAATATAAATAGAAAAAAGAAAAAGTTTCAAATTTCTAATTACTTTCATGTTTTAGAATAGTAGTGTAGGTTCAAATTTGTTAGCGACTAATCTTGCATTAGAAAATATAATAAAGTCTCATTACTCTCTAAAACATCATAAGAAAGGAAAAAAAATGAGAAATATTTAAAATTTAGCTCATTTAAGGTTTTTTTTTTTTTTAATGAGAAAAAGGGAGGGCCGATAATGAGGCTTTAATGACAAAAAAGGTACAACTCACACGACCAAAACATTAAAAAACCAAAGAAAAACACATAACAATTTGTAAGCACAACCAATCCCCAAAGTGAAAAAAAAAATCTTTAGCAACGAGCAGTTCTGCATGGAAAGACAAGTAAAAATAACAAAACCAACAAAATACCAAAAAATAAAGAAAAATATAATATGCTCATCGAAACAAAGAAGTAAA